CCTACGCCTGCTTAATTTGCTTTTTTCTATACTTTGCTTTTTCTCTTCTCCTTTTTTTAGTTTTTACATCGAGTGCATAAATAATTAGATGGAGAAAGAAGACAAGTGATAAATTATTGGATTGCGGTAGGGTTCGTTTGAAGAGTAAATTTTTATCGCGTTTCAAGGAAAAAAAAGTTGCGATAAAATTATTAGGATTATAGTCGCGCGATGGATCTGTTAGGAACTGTAATTGTAATGATGGCTGTTGTTTATTGTCATTTGAGTAATCAATACTCGATAATATTGTCAATATTTTAGTAATTCTTGAACGATTGTCATATTAATTTATTAATTTTACAAAATTTACTAAATCTTACATTTTGACAAAGTAGTATGAAACAATCTTTGTGGCATTCGAAAAAAATTTGTCTTACACTTTCTACGGGTACTACTGTCTATTCGTCTTAAAATTCGTTATAAAAAATAAAATTTATGACATCTAGTTCGTCAGATTCGTTTAGACACATTGAATCATCCAATAATACATAAGCACACAAGAGAAGCAAGGTTCGATTTGTACGCATACCAATTTTACACGATTTTATATTAGACACGAATTTTGAAATTTTGTTTATTTAAAATAATATTTTTTTCATTGAACGGAAACCATAAAATAGTATTTATTAGACAAGAAGATACCGTTGAATATATAAAATTTCTACAAAAAATTTAACTGAGAATTAATTGTCCTAAAGTATTTAAATAAAATATTTCTGAAATAATAAGTAAATATTTGAAGTGATTATATGATTACAATTCTGGTCATTATTAAAAATTGAACAAATGTACGATTATGTGGCGTGGAAAATTTTGCGCCAATCAAACGTTTGACAAACTTTTTCCTTTAACAAATTAGTATTTTATTTTTCTTGTTCAAAGAAAAGCATTACGCTAAATAAATCGAATAGGAAAACTCGTGTTCAGTGAAATTGCAAAGAATCACCATTCGTACGAAGCGAATCCCGGCAGGAGAAAGAAAAATCATAATTAGTCGGGACACAGAAAACGGCAGCACAATCCCGTATGTAACGAACATCATTAGGCATCCCAAACAACAGTGCTTCGTATTATTATTCACAAATCCATCTTTGCCAAAGAAGGATTGGTGTATTTTCCGAAATGAGATTCCGAGGTGCTTAACTAGCGAGAGAGCGAGAGCGGCTCTGGATGCGCGCTAAGCCGTTTAGCGTTCAAAGCGCTTGAGATGGACGTATAGCACACGAGAGTCGCGGCCGGATTTTGGTTTTGTATCGCATGTAGCAACGTTGCGCGCTTGTATACCGTGCTCGCGAAAGCTATTTACAAACGGCTGATGTGCGGGGATCAAGTTCGACGAAGGAGTTTAAACTTTGAAGCAGGCGGCTGATAATTAACTGACTTATTCACTTTGGAAGCTGCAGTAATATATTTTTTTGAAGCTGTTCTTTCTTTTACAAAAGAACATCCGAAATCTTCCGTAATTGTAACTAATCGACTCGCTGGATATGTAGATTCAGGTATTGGCATACTATTTACATACCTATTGTTTATAAATACTTCTAACATTTTCAACGCTCTTTACTATAATTTCATGATTATTTATTGATTTGTCTTATCTGTCTAAGTCGCTCTCTACTTATACGAGCTTTGTCATAAGGAATTTACTTATTTACAAAACCCCAATATTTTCATTTTCACATCTTTCAATGTCCGAGTTCATTATACTATATATCTCTTAAGATTAACTTTGAGGTTGTTAGATGGCGGAATCAGTTGACGTTCTACAATTAGAATAACCAGTCTGGATTTTCAAAATGTCTTTATTTTCTCATTAACTGGTCTAATGACCTTAAAGAAATCTCATGATTTTTACCTGATACGCACCAGACGTGTTTATTGTTTCTTTTACTTCTTCTTCTTATTTTAATTACTTTATACCGAAGTACATAGGTAGCTATATCCGCATGCAGAAGAGCATAAAGCCTTTGTACGCAAAATTGGTATACATATAAAAAAAGTATAAAACCATTTAAAACAAAATTAAGAGCTAATATCTCAATTACTAAAATCTTATAACTAAATAATTTACGTATAAATTACAACATGTAACTTTTGATCTTATTTACGGTTTTTTATATAATAGTGGTTGTCAGTTTCTATGATCTTCAATCCGTGAGGTAATAAGTTAAAAATCTTGTTTTCAGTTCTATTATTCAACTAATGCAACTATTACATAAAAAAATTGAAAATTCAATAATATCAACAACATTACTTTTATTGCAATAAAACTAATATTATCAACATTTTCATTTTTGATCTTCGTTTATTAATTTTATTGATTTCAATTTCATTAGCAAATCTATTGAAAATATATTTAGCATTCGTTTATACTAATTTTAGATTTCAATTTTGAGTAGATATTATTTATACTTAATTGACAACAGTAGAGAAACATTTGATCAGATGTTCAACTACATTATTTTTTGGTTTATTTTATTTTAAGATTGTTACTATCGACAAAACATTTGATACCTGTTAAAAAGTTGAGATGAGAAATAAGTCGTCAAGCTCGAAATAATTTTGTAGAAAAAGATGCAATATTTTGTTTTGTAATAATCATTGATGTCGACGGTTCATCAAAAGATAACAAATCGATTGATCCGTTTCTCGGGGCTTAAAATTTACAAGCTTTTTTGATACTTTCATATTCGCCTAACAAAGCGACATGTCAAGCGAATATGTAGGAGAATCACAAAGCCAGAAAATCATCAGCAACAGGAGATAAACCAGGAGAGTAGCCTTTTAATTGAATTCGCTGTTTCGATTGCGCTGTCATCAGCAAAACAGCGCGTGATGACAAGAGCAGCTATGCATCGCGCGCATCCACATCAAACGTTCGTGTAATCGTATACCATATCAATTCCAGCGGGTGTCATCCCTTGAAAATAATAGATTTTCTTTCTTCGCATCTGAGTCATTTGGTCGAACGCGAACCGATAGCGTTGATATCAGCTTTTCCTTTTGCACTTGTTCGTTTTCGGTTGGATCAAAGAAGCCTGATGGTCGTTAAAAAGCCTATTGGCTTCTTCACTCCTGACAAACGAAATGCAAAAGAAATGTGAAAAAGAGGACGAGCTTGAAAACGAAGATCGACAACGTTCACAGGCAGTTACCGAGCATTCGCGTGGAGCTGACGAATGTAACAAAAGCCGCTCGTTTATAGAACTGGCCGGGTATAGGTGCGCAATGGGAGAGAGCAGGAGAGCAACGCGACAGACGAGTCACGAGGGAGAATCTGGAGGCATAACTGCACTTGGCTGCAGCATATCGTTGCTGGGCATGCTGCAGTCAGTTGCAGCGAGAGAGCGTGGGAGTTTGGGGTGGGTGTTTGATGCCAGTTATCATGTTGACAGACACGCCGCGGCCCCCTGCGCGGACAATTACAAATCGCGGGACGTCCGGCCAGCAAAACGCAGCGGCTCTCTCGACGAATGCATTTCCGCGGGACAAACGAGCCGCCACCTCCTTTGCGCGATTGCCAATGGATCGCCTCGCTCTCCGTCGCGCTTACGTCTGCCGGTTCGCATTCCGCGCCGTCCGGCCTTTCGCCGGGGGATCGGTCCATTTGTCGTCCTTCCGAACTATTTTACGTCGGGCCTGCGACGGCGGAGCTGCGGGCGTCAAATCGAACGTCATCCGCGGCGACATTGTGCAAGAGCGCTCGCGCAGCGCCAACAAAACGAGAGAGAAACATCGAGGCGCTCGAAGAATCGCATTAACGCCGCCACTAAAATCGCAATCACCGGCCTTTAAAAAATCGAAGTCCGAGAGAGAAGTAATCGTTTGGTGGAAGGCAAGACGGCCCATAGCCGGAGATAATGAATACCATAAAACCGTCTCGCCTAAATGCCCCGACGCGCGCGCGCCTGTCGTTTACGGCAGTTAATAAATTTAGCGGTCCGAGGGATCTTTCTCCCCCTCCTCCCTCGCCGTACCTTTGACTGCTGCAGCGCGGCCATTGGCTCCTACATATGCCTCGGCGACCGCTGTGTGCGTGCTTTTTCACACCTTTTGAATTTCTGCGTCGTTTGATGTGGCTCGTTTCTTTTCTTGACTCCTCGTATACCAAACGGGCGTCGTTCCTTTCCAGCTTTATAGCTTTCACGATAGGTTTTGCCGAACTCTCACCGGCGAAGCTCGCTCCGGCCGACGCCCGGCCGTCTCTCGCGCGGCGCGGCGGAGGCGTGGGCGCACGGCAAAAGTCCAACGTCAGAATGACTGCGGAGAACATTTTGACGATTTGGCACGTCGCACACCCTCGCGGATCGACCGCACGCGCGCGCGCGCAAACGACAAAGACGGCGACGCGCGAGCGAGCGAAGCGCCTTAAGGGCAGCGCCTTGCGAGTGTGTCAGTGCGATATTCGCGCATTAGAGACGGCCGCCGTTTAAGAGCCGGCCGCGCCGCTAGCGGATAGTCAATCTCTCCGACGGACGTTTATGGAGAGGGAATTAATATAGCCTCCGCCGCGGTGATATACGCTCTCTCTCTCTCTCTCTCTCTCTGTTCCCCGAGCGCGCGCGCGCGCGCGCGATGCTCCACCCTCTTCCCGTATGCCCTTCTCTTCTTTTTTTTTCCTTTTCGCTTTGTCACAGGCGGCTATTAAACGATGCTTTTTCCCTTCTCTCCCCGAGCTCGGCTTTCGCGTAATTGCTTCTTTAGTTACATCCGGATAAATTGCTCCGCTCGCGGAGATTTATGCTTCTTTAACGATACTCTGTGCTCTGAAAGGCCCACTGAAGGCTTGCAGCGCGTCAAATTCAATTTTCGACAGTCGTGCTGCTGCGACTGGCCGCCCAGCCACGAGAGAAAGCAACGCGAAGTATGAGAAAGGGGGCCGCTTAGCATACGACAATCGATATCAATGATAATTCCGAAGATGTAACGATGCAAGCTAATTGTTGTGTTCTGTTTGGCAGGAAAGAGCTTCAGTATCACGATAACGGTTTCAACGACGCCACCACAAGTAGCAACGTACACTAGAGCAATTAAGGTCACTGTCGATGGTCCTCGGGAGCCGCGCTCCAAAACGAGTAAGTTCATTACCTCTTACACATCGTCTTGACCCGTGCCCTGCCTCGTGCAATTCTGCCTCCTCCTCGCAATCGTCTCGCGAAGCGCTGAGGCGCGCGCACCGAGAAAGAGATTTTTCCGCGCTGGCGAACGGCCCGACTGGATTGATTTTATCAACAGCTCTACGCGGAAAGAGATGACGGGAAAAAAGACGAATATCTGGCGAATAATAGATGAGCGTGACCTATGAAAGGCCGAGGAAAAGTGACACGCAAACGCTTTTTCGGCGCAGCGGTAGTCCGCGGGAAGGGGGTTCGAACAGCGTCGGTGCGGGGGCGTAGGAGGATGGGGTTGCGCCGCGCGATCAGCAGCGCGATCAGCGTGCATCCGCGCGCGCGCGTGAGAGAGAGAATACGCCGATAATTCACGGAAAGTCCGGTAGAGCCTCGGTAATGGGAGTCATTATCGAGCAGATGGTGCGCTATGATGCACCGCGCATATGCGCTTACAACGCAACGATTTCCGCCGTCCTCTCGATGCTCTCTCATCTGTTTAAGCCTCTCTCTCTCTCTCTCTCTCTCTCTCTCTCTCTTGGATACGAGCTTTGTCACGAGCGATTTTCCTATTGCAGAGGCCCGGTGTACTCGAAACAATCTTTATCGCAGCTGTGCTTAGCTTTGTTACGTCGAGATTTCGAGTAGCTCGGGCTGAAATGACTTATGACATTGTCTTACTTCATTGTAGAAATCATCAACGAGAACAGTTGATAATGGAAAATGTTGATCATTAAATTCAGTTAAAAGATTGCAAATATTATTTATAGATGGTATATAGTTCAAATAATATTTACAAATAGCACAGTATATTTTCAAAATAGGGAATCGGTAATTTTATATTTTAGCGTGTAAAAAACCTGATCTAAAATGATGAGGATTAGTTCACCTCGAAATTTACAAATCGTCAATAAATTTAAGGACAATTATTAGAAGAGAGAGAGAGAGAGAAAGAGAGAGAGAGAGAGAGAGAGGGAAAGAGAGGAATTTATCAAGTTAACCACAGGCAAAATGATCGCATATTGCATTCTATGAACGGTTAAAAAAAATTTCTCCTCTGCCAGTAGACTATCGACGAACATACAAACGTTTCATCAAAGCATTCATCAAGTTCACACACAGAAACCACCGCATCCGATCAGCGAGCAAATCTCTGGCACGCGTTTTCGTATAAGGCAGGAATGAACAACATGAGCGTTCAAGTCAGCTGCACGTTGTAAGAACGCGGAAGCGAAAACTCGCTGCCAAGTTCAACGACTGATGCCAACAACCCTTTGGTCTTTAAAGAGGCGCGCGCCACTGTCGAAAAAAAGGACGAAGAAAAGAAAGAAGAAAAAATAACAAGGATAAAGGGAAGGAAGTCCGCGGTCTCCGCGGGGTGTTTCGCGTTCGCGTCGCGTGCCACCGACGACATATTGCACGCACACACCACGACTGCACCTTTTATTTTCCTTGTTTAATTTGTATACCGTTTCGGCATTGTTCTGGCACGCTTTTGGGCAACGCAAATGAGACAATGTCGCCGCAGTCGTTCTCTGCGGCACGACGTTTTTATTTACTTTGAGAATTACAAATGTTAGCTTTTTTGTGTGGCTGCGTTTACTATGATTAGACGCAAGTCTTTGTGAGCTTTAACGATGTTAATCGTGTGCGTTATTATTTGAGTGGGATTTCTGGAGACAAAGAGGAAATCGCGATGAAATTCGAGAATTTTACGATTAGCAGGTCCGGATCCGTCACGTATAAATTCTTGAAATAGTAACGTTCGCGATTCGTCAATGAAAAATATCATTGGATGAGAATAAGATAGAAACATTCTTCTTTGAAAGTCGAACGATCTTTTGGGAACACTTTCAGAAGATGACTATAAGATATAAGAAATTTCAAGATGGCGCTTAGATTACATCTGCATGAAATTGAAAAAATCCCCTTGAAGTTTTTTTCTAGTGCGCATATCTAGATAAAGCGACCAATCACTCTTAACTGACTTCACTGATACTTTTCATTATAAGTAACTTTAATCTTATTCTTCAGTGGATTACTTTTTTCCTTGACATTTAAAAATACATTTTTTATGTTATTCGATAATAAGGAGACCATTTACCTTTACACATTTGTTTTATAATACAAATCAAATTGAATTTTAATATGTTCTTAAGCTAAGGAATTTCCGTTTATTGCGAACTTATATAGCACATTATATTAAACTCAATTAATTAAAAAAATATTGATAGCCCCCAAAACTACAACTCCTATTATCACCCAAACGAGCTATTTAATCGCAGACAACCCTCGTCACAAAACCCGCGCCACACGATGATATTCCCCTAACAAGAAAGGCTAAACCCTCCTTGAACAGTATGCGCAGTTTGGAAGTCAAAGGCCCTCGAAAATTCACCCAATTATCCGAAAAAAATGAGGAGAGAAAGAACGAAGGTGCATACAGACAAGTGCGGGAAAAATAGGCCGATCGTGCTATTGTGCTGCGCGCGTTTCGCGGACCGCGAGTTGGCCTACTGGGCTACGCGCGAGCCTGCAAGGCACACCTGCTGCAACCCCCTTATTATAGACATCCACTGTTGGCGTATGTAGGACCCTCTAATCGCTTCTCTTTTTCGTAGTTCTCTCTCGCTCTCTCTCTCTCTCTCGCTCTCTTTCTCTCTTGCGAGCGCATTTAGTTTCCGGGACTTCGCGCGTGCGCGCGCGTGTGTGTGTGTGTGTACACGATGTCTTGCGTGCGAGTTTGCTGTTTGTCTTTTCCTTTCACTCGATCCATTCTCTCTCTCTCTCTCTCTCTCTCTTTCTCTTTCTCTCTATCTCTCCCTTTCAAAGAGCCCACACCTATGCATTCGAGCTGAGAAGTGGTTGAATTAGCGACATATGGGCAGACCGTGGACTAGTTGGCCGTTGCGCTTTTTTCTCTCGCGTGTCCACGTATTTCTCGCCGTGCCTTTTATAACGCGCGCCCACAGCGGAAGTTGTTTTTTAGCCAGATTTATTAGCTCGCGCGATATTTTTGTACTCGCTATTCCCATGAAAACGGATGTAAGGCCGAAAATTTCGCTCGCATAATTACGCGAGCATGAACAATGAAAACAATACATTCGTAGGATATATGTATGTACGTATATATATATATATATATGTATATTTTTTTTTGTCGTTCCCCGAAGAAAATCCAGCAGAGCTCGGTGCCATTTCCGTCGTTCGTGCACGCTTGTCCGTGCCGCTGTTCGATTAGATAACGCCCAAACTCGTTCTATCGAGAGCCGCCGTAGCCGTCGCCGCCGCCGATGCGTTAATTTATTATGTGGAGTTCGCGCGCGGACAGTGAAATTCTATTGGGCCAGCTGATTCTCACTTGTTTACCTTTTTTCGCGCATATCCTCTCGCGTGAGTGTGCATTTTTATAAATTCCGCGGGATCAAGTACATATTGCCGGCTTTGTTTTCGATTGGCGAGATATCTGGTGGAGACGAAAAGGATGCGCTACTCGACGGTATACTTATGTGTGTATAAGTAAAAATTGACCGAATAAACGAATTTGAAACGTGTTTGCTTTGGCATTGTACTTTTCCAAGTTGACCAACTAGATCGTTGTTCCGAAAGAGGATAGAAGCGTTCTATTGCACTTCCCACGTCAGTAATTCGTGAAATTGAAATCGCGCGCTAAGACTAACAAATTGAAATAAGAGAAGAAATTGGTGGGAGTGGAGTTGGGTGCAGACGTTAATTTGCATGACCGAGTTGTGGCAAGTTTCGCAAACGAGAGCCGTCAGTCTGCATAGTCGAGCCGACGCATAAAGCAGACTGCGCTGTCGCTAGCAAGCTGGAAAAGCAGCATGTGAGCGGCCGAAGCAGACCGTTAATGAAGCTTATTTGGAGAACTTGATGAAGAAAGTCGATGGCAGCGAGAGAGAGAGAGAGAGAGAGAGGGCTCGTACATGGGCGCGCATGCTTCGATATAAAGCGTGCCAAGCGTGCCAGTAGCTATTAGCCGCGACGAGCCTCCCTCTGCCGCATTACGCTCGCGCGCCCCGCCTCGTAGTCGTCGATATTGCCCGCGCGCGCTCGTCGGATATTAGACTATGCATTGATTGCATTGCGCATCGCCTCATCAGCGGAAGATTGATTCGCACGCGCTCGACAATCAGCCGTTTTACCTGTATGGGCCAAAGGGCACATCCTGCTGCCCGTCGGACGAATCATCGCCGTAAAGCCGTTCCGAACGCACGGCAATCGTCGGGCTGAGCCGACCGGCAGCTGGAAAAATCTCTCGTCGGTCGCGTCTCGCTCTCGTTCCTCGCTCCTCGCTGGCCTCGCGAACGAAGAACCGGAGCGCGCGCACGCTGTTCAATGCACCCTTCGCTCTTGCACCAGGACAACAGCACCAGCAGTTCCGTGCGCTGGGTCACGGGCAGCATCCCTACCTCGGTGCTCCCACCTCGTTCTCCAGTCACCTGCGCGAGCTCGAGTACAGGCGGTCCAAGCACCACCATCATCACAATCAGCAGCAGCAGCAACAGCAGCAGTCGCAACAGGGCACCGCCAGCAATGGCGCAGCAAGTGTAAGTTCCTGCTCGGCGGCGAACCCCAGCAACAATGCCAATTCCTCGGCCACTTCACCGTCTTCCGGCAGCCATCTGCCCAACGCCGCTGGGACTAATACGCATCAGGACTGTTACAAGCACAGTCCGCAGCATGGTGGTGAGTTTCCAGCTTTTTTTGTCGCCGCTCGTTTTTTCTTTTTTTTTTCTTTTTTTTTTTCTTTTTTTTTTCTCTTCACTTTTGACGTCCAACTACGTGCGTCTCCAGACGATAACATTCATCACAAACTCTCTTCGGAAATCCAACAGCGATTTCAAAGAAGAAACAAATTAGAAAGCACGGAAGAAAGAAGCCTTTTTGCTTGAGGATCGAAGCACTCTAACGAATCCATTTCACGCCGCGTTATCAATGCTTCATGAACAAATCACTCGGTCACTCGTTCAAGTAAAAATATACGTGAGCTCAATTATTCAAAATCTACCTGTCCCGCTAGGAAACCGCTATTCCTTTTATCGATATTGCCTACTTTTCACAGTCGCGCGGGGCAGCGTCCGCGAGCTAAAGTGCTTCTACGGATTCGAATTTCCCGCTGGGGGGATTTCAGCAAGCTAAAAGAGAGGCATGGTAATGGGCGAGGTCGGAGCTGAGGGGGGAAAAGAGAGAAAGAGAGAGGAGAGAGAGACAATCCGGCGTTTCGCGAGAGGTAATAGTTTCATACCTCGTTCCGGCTCTGCACCCTCTAATTCAGCATAATAACGACATTCAACCTGCCGCATTCTCCCTCCCTCTCTCTCTTCCACTCGTTTTCTCTCTTGCGATCCTACCGCTCATGGTTTCGCTGATGCTCCTGCTGCTGCTGTTGCTGCTGCTGCTGCTGCTGCTGTTGCAGCGAATGATGTTGACGGTACGGGCATCCAGTTGTCTCTACGCTTTGATTTCGATTATTACTTTTCTCGCAAAACTTACAATGCAAATTTACTTATTTTTTGTTTTCGGAGTCATTATTTGTATACAGCAAAGATTCGTAAGTGTAGATGCAATTCAAATGGCATCCCAAAGTCAATTCAGACATTCAATATTTTTTTAAAACTGTTCATCAATTTTTTTTTTTCTTTTTTCATAACTACATGCGTCTTAGATATTCAATCTAAAGGAGTAATTCAAGCACCATAATCAATATACCTGCGTTAGCAATTGACGTACAACCAAATTTTTCGCTATATGACGTCTTCGAATTCGCCATAAACGCAATAGTTACCGTGGTAAAATTGGATTCAACGGTTTCAAAGGGAAATCGACAATTAAATGATAAAATTATACATGATTCGTGCTAGCTTTTTGAAGCTACTGACTTATGACGTTATCGACAGAACAATGTCTTTGACGTAGCTTCAGAGAAAGCAGAGAATTCGCGATAGAGGGAGGAGGCAATAAAGGAACACGCAGAACGGAGCAAAAGCAAAACGAAAGATGGTGAAAGAGGAGGAGTAGAGAAAAGGACGCGCTAGAATCATTATGACTGTTTAATGGGTAAATAAGGCGAAAGGTAGTGTGAGAGGGAGGGGGCGTGCGCGCTCCGGTCCGTAAAAACGATAATCGACAGAATCTGTTTTTAAGTAGCCCTGTATAGATACAATGTGCTTTTCTTTTCAGACGCGCCGCGAGTTTAGTGTACGTTATAAGTGAAATTTGTACTCATGACAAGCTGCCCTCCATCTTCATCTCGTGTACTTGTCTCATTTATTCTTTGAATCTGTTGCTTGTATTTTTTTTTTGCCGATATCCTGTCACTTTTTTTGCAGCGGATAATCATTATTATTTGTTAATAATTTCATAATGTTACAGCGTCATTCGAGCATGCTTGTTGTTTGCCTAGCGGATGATGCATAATTTTTAGCTAACGTATAATTCATAGAAATTATGGGAATGGCAAAAATCTATAGATCAATTATTATTATTTAATACCGAATGGCTGAATGCATTTACGACACTAAAGTTGTCATACAGATTCACGAACGTTGCAACTTTCTGATTCAGTTTATCGTTCCTTCGTTTAAATTCTTCTGTATAGTGCTTATTCAATTAATTAAAGTATACGCAATTCCTCATAGCCATAACGTATACTACATCTAACTCGAACAAGTGAACCAAGGTAAGTGCATCGAGTGATTTAAAAAAAATGTCCCTACAAAAATTATGCACACCCGAGGAAGTCAAACAAACACACCGCCAAATTAAAGCTCTAACGTCCTCATGCCAACATCTTCTTTCCGCGGGCTATCGAAACGCAGCTTCTCTAGTCTCGCATCAGCGGCCTCGAAGCTGATCAAAGTTAAGTAGACGCGCCCCTGCACTCTCTCTCTCTCTCTCTCTCGCTCTTTCGAGCTGTTGCTGCTGCTGCTGCTGCAACGGCTCTTTGAAGGCAGCAGCAGAAACGCTGCGGTTTCTCTTTCTCTCCCTCTCTCGCTCTTCCGTAATTACCTCGTTTGCCCCTCTGAATTTCGCCGAGGCGCTTGTCGCGGAAAAAAGGGCATTTTCTGGGGAACTATAGCGGAAGGAGGTACCTTTTCGCTTTTTCCTCAGCTCCATTATTCTGCCAGCAAGCTCCTCTCTCTCTCTCGATGGTTTTCTGTTCTCTCTCTCTCTCTCTCTCGCTCTCTCTCTGTTGCTCTTATTCGTTAATTATCGGTTCGCCTTTTCCTCGCGGCGAGTGTTTGTTCAGAGAGCTTTTACGCTTTTTCATGTTAATTTTATGAGCTTTTTGCGTCTTTATAACTACAGTGCTTGTCGCGAAGATAATGAGCTTGGCGAAAAAAGTCATTTCCTTTGTAAGATTAAACGCATAGCGGTCTTTTTATTAAATTTATTTAATTGACCTTTTCACTTACATTTATTAATTTGATTTACGTATGTATCGTCGCGTAAAACTAGCGAAAAATTCTACAAGTTGTACTTTTGAATAATTGCGTTTTTAGTTACAATCAATCGTAGAATTAAAAATCGTACTAAAGAATGCATATTATGATCATCTCATATACTTATGAGAAAATCAATCCCCCCACCCTTAAAAAAATTGTAATTCACACCATCGATTGGAAAAAATACAGTAAACATTGGCTATTACGGAGCCCCAGGCATGCAAACAAAAAAAAACACACACAGATACAAAAAGAGAACAACAATCAAAAAATGTATATCAGCTTTCGATGCCCGCAACATAATGTTTCTTTTGGCAGTTGCCGACAGTAAATATTCTCTTGAAATTGATTACGCGATTTCGTATGCGTACAGGCTCGAATTCGAAGAAAAAAAGAGGAAGCGATCCACAGAAAATAGCCCTTCTCCTTCTTCTTTTCTCTCATTCTTTTCGTACTTACGGGCGAGATGCACGAGAAAGTATCGCATTTTCTTCGCACGCACCAAAAACACATCTGCGTAATACCGGAGATCCAATCGATCGACTCATAACATTATTATTATTCGCACCTCCCAAATACCCTCATTCTCTATCGCTTTGTTACTTCGATTTTAGTTAGGCGTTCGATTCACGCAGATACGTATACCATCGGCAACCCACAATCGGCCTTCAACGCCTCGAGACGTCACATCAATCGAAATTTCGACATGCGAAAATTTGGTTGAGTCATCCTCAAGCCCAGGTCGCAATGCGACGCATTCATGCGCGACAACTGTAAGTTTGACCTAGATATCGATGCGTCATTAATAAATCCGATTCCCCGGCAAAACCAGTTCTTCGTGGTGCTGCTATTTCGCTTCTTCAGTAGCCAGATGCAGCTCGAGTTAGCGCGCGAGAGGGCATATTGACGTTTTTACATCAGCAGCTTCTGCCTCGCTCGCACGAATCAACGGATGCGATCGATCTGCTTTCTTTCCTTCGCTCTTTCTTACGATCGTACCTTTTTTTTCTCTCCTCCGCGTTCGCGAGTATACGCGCGCGCGAAAGGCAAATGAAGCGGTCCGTCACGTTCTACTCGAATTATCGGCGAGAAAAATTGAAGGATATTATTGGATCGCTGTCTGGCCGCGTAGGAAATGATTTAGTTTTACGCGGCGTGGGCTTTTTAATAACGTTTCGCACTTGTTGGCAGGATCAATCGTAGACTTCCGGCGATTTGTAGATCGATGATGATCAAGGTGATTAAATATTGGGAGCTTGTGCAGTAAGTCTTGGCGCGAATACAATGGAGCTTGAGATTCTCATGGTGTGCATCTCGCGACGCGTAAGAGCCTATGTCTTGCCACTCGGCTGCCTTTTCTTTTTCGCGATCGAGTATCGCGGAATCAGTTTGTTTATTACAAAACTAGATAGCAGCTGTCAATGATGGCTACTAACAGTTCCAAACCGCAACTATCGTCCGTTTGCTTTACAGCAAAATCAATAACAACGTTGTATTAAAAAAAAGAACACCTGGTAATCGAGAGAACGTGCCAAGATCACATAAAACAGAGAGCAAAAAGCCGTAGAATAGTTGGCCATCGGACGTTTAAAGCGGCCGAACGACGTAGAACCTCGCGAAACGCTCGTCGAAGTCTCTGCGCGCAAAGGGGTCGGTCTTTCTCTCAAGCGACCTCGAAGAGCGCTTGGAGAATAAAAGCGAGAGGAGAGAGGAGAAGCTGAGCATTATATATCCTCTCTCGTGTCTCTTATAATAATAAAAGCGCGCGCGCGGAGAGAGAGAGAGAGAGAGAGAGGGTCTTTTTTTGGGCGATCGAGCGGGGGGTAATGAGGGGACAGTGGCGAAACGAGAATTGTAGAAACAGTTTTCGCGCTGATTATGGGGTGTCAAACAATTACGCTGATTGTCTGCCAGCGACTCTCGTTTCGCCGCCGCCGCCGACGCTGCTTTATACTCCGTTCTTCTTCGTGCCATTCGTATTTCCATTCCGGAGCTCCTCGCAGGGAGAAACACAGCTTTCGTTTTTCTCTCAATTTCTCGTTCTTCTTGGCCACTACATATGTATATATATGCACAGGAAGGCGCACGTGCAGCTACACGCCCGCTCCTCGCACCTCGTGCCTCCATTTTCTCTCTCGCTCTCGCCTTTACCTTCGGTTTATATATCTGCGGCTGCATAATGAAGATGCAGAATCGAACAACCTCGGGCTTTCCTTCTTCGTTCCTTCGTCCATTCATCTT